GAAATAATATTACATGTAACTGCATGTCTGGTTGGTATATTTTTGAATTAAAGACTCGTATTGTTAACGACAATACCGTTTGGTTGACATGTATGCATTAGTTATATGGCACCTATACCATTACCGGCAATGCAATATTTACAAATTCAATGTTACTTTATTTGTAAATATTTTGGTGATATTAATAATATGCAGTATAGTGGCATGTTTAACTTATATATTGAATATCCTATAAATTATTGTGTCAAAAATTACTGGATAAAATTAGGATGTGTTTATATGGCGGTGAGCCATCTTCACATTGAGATGTGTTTTGAGATGATCTTAATTCAGGTTCTCAGCCAGCAAATCTTTTTCGGCAAATATTTCTCCTGCTGAGGGGTGACCACTGGATGAGTAACATGCCTAAGTATATTAATATATCTGAAACAAAATAGCTTCAATTCTCATTATTATTATACATTTGACATTTTGATCAATTTGATGGAGTACCTGGCTGAATGAAAATGTCATTGTTAAGTAAAGAAGCATAGCAGCACAAATTCAGTACTCTCCAAAGCCAAGAGTGTTTGAAAAATTTCGAACAAGCATAATTGGAACAGATACTGATATGAAGTAACATAAACTTCAAAGGTTTCCAGAGGAACGTTTTCTCGAACCCCCCCCCCTTACTGAAGATGTATCGTACGAAATGGGACGCCCTCTTTTACAATCCTGGCTAAAAGCCTGCATCTCCCCCATTTCTTATATAGCTGTTACTCAAATGAACCATGTGAAGATTGGCCATGCAAGCAAATATAAACGATAGTTTACTCAATTACTGTAGTACGTCACAATACACACAAAAATACCACATTCTGTGCTACATTACTTTGTCTAGTTCTTGGGTAACTTTAGTAATCATTGGAAAGATGTTGCACAATACTGTAATGGGTTAACATAGATTTTTTAACTGTGTTGTAAAGAAAAGTGAATTAATTCAAGTAACAATATGCGAATTAGGTAAATGCATGAATTAATTAAGCATGCGTGAAAGGCATTGGTGCCAAAAAATGAAAGTTTCAGCGCCTATTTGAAGGACTTAAAATTGAGCAAATTTTCGGATATTTGGACCATTTAATAAAACACGTAACAAATTTCTCGTCCATGAACTCAAAATGCATTTTAACCTTTAAAATTTCACAAACAAGCTATTTTTCATGCTGCTAAAAAGACGTCCCCCCCTGCTTTGGAAAATTAATCTTTATGAAAATTTCTTGATTATTCTACATTATAAGTACCCAAACAATCTATATTTATCAAATATTTAATGACATCGGATTTATGAAATTGAGAGCCGTTTCAAAATTGTCTACTTTTTTATGATACACCCTGTACTGAGTTGCATGAACATGCTCCATACTATGCCGGTCATCCCGTAGTTAATTTGCAGGGTGAGAATGGAGCGTTCACTTGGCTTAAAATTGCCTTTGCAAAGTGCTTCTCTGATACTGCCATGTCAGTTTTTGAAAATATGATCATACAGCAGCAGTTAGCCTACTGAAGAAGCAATGCATAATGCACATAATTACGAATTCTTGATGTTTCCTTTAGCGATGGTAATTGGCTTACAAGTCAATCTTACTATCCAACCCAAACTGTTGATGTTTAATATCACAACCACCAAAACTCCAAAAGCAAATGCTTCACCGTCCATATGAACAAAGCTGCAGTGTATTGCAATTGGAATAAAACGAAACTTTGTTTTTCATTACTTTTGTCTAAAATGTTTATTTGTTGAGGACCGAAATTTGAGGAGGAAATATGCCGTTCAGAACGCAGGAAATGGCGTTTCCGGGCTTCAAATTTCAAAAATTTTCCGAGGGGCATGCCCCCAGACCTTCCCTATCAATGCGAGGTCTTTCCAAATGCTACGGTCAGATTATTGGCTGGATCTGCCCCTGCTATAGGAATTTTCAAATCTTATAGGAATTCCTATAGGAATTTTCATTTCCTATAGAAATTCCTATAGCCATTTTCCAATCCTATAGGAATTCCTATAGGAATTTTTTTCACCACTTTCAATTCCTATAGGAATTCCTATAGGAATTTTCAATGCCTATAGGAATTCCTGTAGGAAATTTCAATTCCTATAGGAATTCCATAAGGCATTTTCAATGCCTATAGGAATTCCTATGGGAAATTTCAATTCCTATAGGAATTTCTTTGACCATTTTCAACTCGTATAGGAATTCCTATTAGTGTGGCGGATATGTGCATGGATGTTTTTCCGAAGAGGGTTAAAAGCACCAAATTGTGCACAGTAGCATCTTTTTATGAGTAGAACAACATGCAAAAGTGGGGCCATCGTAAAACCGGTTTTTTTAGAGAGTTACAATGCTATTAGCATTATTTGCTATTAAATTCTACTACAACAAAAAATGTGAAATTTTGAATTCAATCGCGACAAATATAACTTGCATCATCAGAAAGCTTGTAAAAAAGACTTTTAAACAGTTTTTTTATTCTTCAAATGGTTATTGCTGTAAATTAGCCACATTATCTCGCTAAATGTCCCTAATTCATTATTCGATGTTTGAAAATGCATTTTTAACAGTTTATAATTCGAAAACTATTTCAGAAATCAAAAACTGTGTAAACGTCTTATATGCAGTTTTTTATAAGCTTTCTGATGATGCAAGTCATATTTGTTGTAATTGAATACAAAATTTCACATTTTTTGGCTATAATAGAATTCAATAGAAGATAATCACTAATTACCCGTTTTCAGGAGTTAGCAGCAAAATAGCGATGGCCCCACTTCAAATATCTATTAAGCAAATAAAACTACATCAATTGTAAAAGTTTGATGCTTTTAACCTCAACGGGAACTACTGATCAATAATTTTACACATATCCGCCTCACTATATAGGAATTTTCAATTCCTATAGGAATTCCTATACGAACTTTCAATTCCTATAGGAATTCCTCTAGGAATTTTGATTTCCTATAGGAATCCTTATAGGAAATTTTTGTAAGGGACGAACCCTGTCTCGGTTAAGTAGGAACGTAGATACGGACATCGTTTAAAACAGATTATTGATATCTGATCAAGTGGGCATGGTGAGCCAGACAGTTTCATTTTACGGATGACGTTTGTAATCTCTTGATAGGTCGTGGGGTCAAGATTAAAAGGCGTTTGAGGAGAAGCAAATTTTGGGATCCAACTTGGGATGTTGAATCTTTATTTGGACTAATCGCGGAGAATGTTTTGGTGAAGTAGGATGTACATTGCGCTATATTAAATGATGGAAGTGAGCTGGTACCCTTTTTGAAAAATCTTTTAACGTAACCCCAGAAGTTTTTACCAATTAGATTATCGTGATGAATGTCTGCAGATGCATGACTATCGGAATTATTTAGGTCCATATTATTTGACTTATTAAGGAGGATGCGCAACTTCTTCCTGACAAATTTGATCTCCAGGACACTACCATTTTCCAGTTTTAATTTCTTTAATGCTTTTTTTAAATCCTTTGTTGAAAATGTTTGGTATTTTCTTTCGAATTCTACACTGCTATTATTGTAAACATGACCAATTTAATTCCCCCTTTTTAAGTCGGGGAAGTTTTCTTCGGTGTTTGAAGGTGATATTTCAGGGTTAATTGGGTCAGTGTTATCATCATGATTGTCGTCGTTCAATGCTTCAGTCATTTGTTGTTGCAGTTCGTCTTCAAGGTCGTCAATAACTCTACAGCTTCGTTGGTGCATTTTAAGTCCGCAAGCTCCTTTGCAGACTTTACCACAGCAACATTTGACTGCTTTGCAAGACTTTACAGGTAGACACATTTGTGTAGGCATTTCCATAGCAGGATTAACATTCAAAGTGGATTCTCATTCGTTCCCAACTTTACTTTTACACCGCCACAAATGACGGCCTAACGATTCAAATTCCGTGCCACAAAATCCACATATTATTAGCGTTGAAAATAACGCAAGCAAGCTTGCACAAATCATACTTGATTAATTTTAGGTATAAAATTCAAAATGTAACATAACTATGTCAATTCAAGTAAAATATTTCAATGAAACCAAGGACATGTACAGAGAGCGTATATATGCAACTGCTCGATGTATAATAATGTATAATAATTATAATAATAATAAACTTTATTTATATAGCGCACAAATCCAAAGCTGTTCAAGGCGCTTTACATGATTTAAAATAAAACTACTATATACAAACAAAGTAGGGTACCTAAAGTTATCTACATGAATAAAGATTTGCTACTAACAAATTTAAAAAAAAGATAAGTTTTAACTGACTTCTTAAAAGCGTAAACACTAAATGACTTGCAAATATCCAATGGTAAAATATTCCAAAGTCTAGGTGCACAAACTGAAAAAGCTTTATCACCATATATCTTTGTAATAGTCCTCGGTTGACTTAAGAGTTCATTCAATACAGATCGTAGTGATCTTGAGGATTCACGAAACTGTAGTAGATCAGTCAGATACCTAGGACTCATGCCATTAATTGTTTTATAAACTAACAATAAAATTTTAAAAACTATGCAGTAATGTACTGGCAAACAATGCAGATCCACTAAAACTGGAGTGATATGTTCATATTTACAAATCCGACAAACAATTCTAGCAGCTGTATTTTGAACATACTGTAACCTCTTCATTTGGTACTTCGGTAAGCCAAAGAGAAGAGAGTTGCCGTAGTCTAGCTTCGATGTAACAAACGCGTGTACAACAATTGCAGCAGTCTCTCATCAGATATTTGCGGATCCTCGATAAGTTCCTCAGATAGTAAAAGGAAGATTTACATTTATCAGCAACATAGCTATCAAACATCATGTGCTCATCGAAACCAACACCCAAACTTTTAACTAGTGTAGCAGTGATAGGCACTTTCTCAAGTTCAATGTTCAAATCATCAACAGGTGGTTTGTTACGGTACCTTGAATGTATCAACATAATTCCAGTTTTATCATGATTGAGTACAAGTAACTTCATCAATTTTACCCGGGGAGTTCCTAGCCATGTTCTTTCTGGCTAATACGTCCTGTCGAACACCATCAATCTTACTGACAAAATAATCAGCAAATGCATCAGCGAGCTTGCGATCACTATTTGCCAAAGGATAACGTCTATCCAAGCTTTTTTGTAACAACTTCTCCACTGTTTGAAAAAGTACTCTTTGATCGTGTGTGTTATCACGTATGATGGTTGAGTAGTATTCTTCTCTCGCCTTATGTAGCATTTTGTTAACAACATCACACTGAGCCAGATAGTTTGCTCTATTGCAATCGAGTCGATTTGAGCGCCACTTACGTTCAAGCCTTCGTCGTTTCTTTTTCGCATCTGTCATCTCATCATTATACCATAATGCATTTGGATGAACAATGATTGATAGAGTTTTTACTGGTGCAAGTTCATCCACGATACCACACAGAACGGTATGATAGTTATTTACCAGCACCGAAAGACTTGTGTCGTCATCTATATTCAACAATCCAGATGAAGTAATTTTGATATTAAACGATTCACAGTCAAAGTTCTGAAGTTGCCTACTCACAAACGTTTTTCAGCTGATTGGATTGCTTATCAAGATTGAGATTAAACCATATCAGCTTATGGTCAGAGACAGGCTGCTCCAGAACACAAATATTGCTCACTTCCAAAGCCACACAATCATCTCTTGTAATTACAAGATCCAAAATGTGCGTAGGTGACACTACGTGTTGTTTCAAACCAAATGAGTCCAAGAGACCAATAAAACGAACAGCTTGAGTATTCTCAATAAATATCATCTATGTGGAGATTAAAGTCTCCCATGATTAACAATTCTTCAGAACATACAATAAGTTCTTCCAATAAGTTGAAAAATCATCCAGGAAAATTTCGGGGGATAGTCCAACAGCCGGCGGGCGATATATAACAATTACTCTAACATTTGCAACATTTATGAAACTAGCATCCAAATATTCAAATGACCAGAAAGAATGTTCACAAGTTCTCAATCTCGCCCTGACACTTTGTCTATACAAGAGCCCTACACCACCACCAATCCCATTGCTTTTTGGTACATGAATGGACTTGTAACCTGTTGGGCAAAGGTCACCAACAATTGAATCATCACCTTCCTGATGTAGCCAAGTTTCAGTAATGCCCAAAAGATCAATTCCTTTCTCTACAACAAGGTCTTTAATTAGTAGAGTCTTATTGCAAAACAGACCTTGCATTGATTACACCTGATATAAAGTTGAGTTTTTTATTTGGTACAATGTGAGAAGTTCGATTTGCATTTGGTTGAAGGTTAATTAAGTTACAGTAATTAACACCATTGGGCTTTGAATACAAATGAGCAGAACATCTACAGTTGGAAGTAACAAGTTGAATATACGATGTTGATGGCTTATAAAGCTTCTTTCCCCCTCTTGAGCGACTCTTCTCCTTATACCAAGACATTTCAATCGGGATAATAACCAACGATCAATACAAACACACTGGTTGGAATTCTCAAAGGCAAATAAAACCGTTCTTGAATACTTAATTTTCACTGGCAAATCCAGAGCGTCGAAGCATGTCGAGCGGGACTCTAAAGCTTGAGAATTAACATGTTTCTTTCCCAAAATTTCGAATCGAGGACCCGGATTTCTCTCAACATCAATAAAGACTGTCATATCAAAGTGGAATGGTTTATCCAATAACGCAAAACACATACAACCATGTTTCGTTTCCTTCATAAGCGGCTTTCTCTGTTTAAATACTGATGCATATTGCACAACAGTTAATATGACTCGAAACGTGAAAGGGAAAACAGGAATTTGCTTTCTTTCCAACCAAGACAAACCAGATTCAGTTAGATATCCAGACATTCCAAAACACTGGATTGCAGAAGTACGGTTTATTTTAAAACAGCATCTTTGTGCCATTAAAAATCTCAAAAAGACTAAAATACACAGGAAGCGAAATAATAACTTTATTTGAAAATTATTTCTATATAAATACATAAAAATATACAATCTGTCCCACTAAAAATCTTTAAAATGAATATTGTCTATAGTTTTATGTGTCTATTGTTATTTTAAAAAGGGTATAGTGTTCTATTCTTACAGCTAGTCAAATTTGTAGTCCGCTTTCTTTACAAGAAAGTTCAATGTCAGTTGTGTCAATGTCTCAGCGCACCGAGGTTCGGCTGCCTCTTATCGCCATAACAGCTGATCGAATTAAGGGAAACGATAATATGCATTGCATCCAGGCCAGAGTGATACCATACTCACTCTTTCGTTTTTCTGCCAGCAACTCCGCCAGATGTTTATATGCAACAGCGGTCTCTTTCCCCATTCCACCAGTTGTCGAGAATACAAGTGGTGTGAAGACAGCGTTCTCTGTATTCTCTCTTCTTCACCATCTCATGCTGCCTGTACAGTGAGGGTATGCTGGTATTTTGGTAGCTAGGTGCATTTGGGTGGAAAAAACCCTTACGTCGAAAAATACATCTTGCTGCCGGTTCCAAAACCCTTTCGCTCTAATATCGAGTCTTGCATCATCCTGACAATTGGCTGTATGTGGTAGTATAATTTCACCCGAGAGCTGTTGAAGTGGTGGTTCCTTTACTACGTCAGAGCACACCTCATTTAGCCACTGAGCTGTTACATCTCTAATCTCATTATGCCTTGCTATAGGTAGTCCACCGAGAGGACATGTCATGGTGTGATCTGTTAAGAATGACTTTCCACACCTACAATAATGAGGGGTGTTTTTCAACTGCCAACCATATCATAAACTTAGCGCATCACGAAATTCACCTTTATTCAAATTGAATCCCTGATCTTGTAATGGTAATGCCGAAAGCCATGATGAAGATCCTTTTTCACAAAGTAAATCCATCATTCTCTGCTTCGCCAGAGGCAGTTGTTCCCTCACCTGTTGAGACATATCTTTCATTCTCTCTTTCTTTTCCTGACGTAAACTAGCCTTAATGGATTGTAATTGGGGTTTACTAAACGACTCTCTCTGCTTGACTATCATACCTTTGAGCGGCGTGCTGATTTTCTGCGAGGATTGATACTCATGACTTGCGTTGGTAATAGGATTAATGATATTTAGACCCCCATAACGTATGGGTAATGAAATGAAAGATCTTTCATCTGCATTACAGTGGCTTCTTCCGGTAAGTGCAGGTATAAAAACTTGATTGATTGAGTCTTCTAATGGTTCAAAAAGACTATCAATGTCCTTGACTGTCCACATTAAGTACCTCCATTTGCCCACAATACAATGCGAGAATGCTGCATATGCAGATTGTGGGTAATGCTCTGCTATTTTGGCAAGATCTTCAATCTCATTCACAAAAACATCGATCTTTTCAGCAGTAAATGTTTTGACAAAATCGTGTGAGCCGATTGCTGATCCGAGCATTTCATAACCTTCTGAAGTCACTTTAATTCCTTCCAGCTAGCACAGTACACAAACACATTTTAAATTGGTTGTGGTTTGGTTAGGTCCAACCTAACCTTCAAATAACGTAATTAGAACGTTCGTACACGACACTAACTAGAATGAATATCCTGATGTGGAAACTACGTTGTCATAACGTTACAGAATATGATTTCCGCCAACGTCGAGAAAACGTTTTAAATGTGTACAGATCCACAGGTCGGTATGTTGGCAACTACGTTCTTATTGCATTACAGATTTACGTTTTCTGCCACATCAAGAAAACGTTTTAAACATGTATGGGTCCACAGGTCGGTACACGGCAACTACGTTCTTATTGCATTACAGAATTACGTTTTCTGCCAACGTCGAGAAAACATTTTAAACACGTAGCCAAATGGACCAAACATTTTGAAAAGGATTACACTTTTAGATCAAGGTGCATGTGTAATTACCGCTGTTCACATATCCACTTAGCCGAAATGTGTGTAATTTATTCTATTCTCAAATTGCAATGTATTTTATTTGCGCACGTTGTTGGCCGAGTGTATAGTTTTTTGAGGCAAAGTTTACATTTACATACACGTTATATCCACCTTCGAAGGTATGTATTATGTATATGTTTAACAGTACATATATCTCTTCTAATGTAAATTTGCTTATTTTGTGGAATGTCCATTCAAGGTTTTCTGACATTTGATTATCTCTTCTTATGTAGTCCTTCCGACAGTTTGTTGTTGACGTTGTTGCATATACCAGTAAATTGTATCATACGAACACGGAACACCACAACTTTATAGTCCGAATGTAAGTATATATTTAGCTCTTTGTTTATGTTTTTACTGTATTGCTGTCTTGTCAGTTGACCTTTGATATTTTTCTTTAATAAACGAGACATTTTAAAGTATTATTGTATTTTAACTGCAGGGTAAATTTCTATACATTCAACATGTTTGCTGACATTATTATAGACTCGTTTTTGATCATATAAAACATATTCCTGTAACATGATAACTACAGGGAAATTTGAAATTAAGGCCCTTAGTCCGAATAATTTTGTGTTTGTTCTTTCCAAGATGCTAAATAACGCATGGCTGTTGTTACACAATCGTTTATGAATTGGTTCCATTGAATCTTGTCCAACACAAAAACCAATAGCTATAGTGTATTGGAAAATTTGCACGACTTTTATATTTCAGAGCACAAAGAATCCATTGAGACTGTGAAGTGTCTGTTTCTAACATGCAAATTGTTTGCACTTTTAGAAAACGGCTGATGCGTCTGCAGGTGATGATGGCCAAAATAAAGAGTGACTAAAATCTGTTGCACAAAAGTATAACATTCTTTTATGTCGGTTTTCCACTAGCGAATTTCTTCGTGCAAAAGGACTTTTATATGGTTAAAATTTAAGACTTTATCATATAAGGTGATAAGTAATTTTACATAAGTTCCAGCTGACTGAGCAGAGAGCTCATAAGACAAAAGAGTATATAGTCTGTTCGCGCGACAAAATTCACTTTAGCTTCTATAATCTCTAGACTACTGATTATTACTGTATTGGCCAAATATCGTTGTATTCTACCATCCTAAATATCTATATCTTGTACTATTTTCCCCATTATCTTTTATCTTTACTTAAATAATATTATATTATGATTTATGTATTTATATGTAATTTAAAAATGAAAATTAAAGCCCAGCAAATGACTTTCAGACAAGACATAACAAAATATAAAATTTATTGGCTAACATTTCGTTGTATTGTTCACAACATCTTCAGAGCAATTAAACTTATTTACAAGCATGTATTATATATATACAAATAGTTTCAAACGGTTACAGTATTCAAATAAGCGTATAAGAGGAAGGATGAAAAACAACCTGTCATTAGTAAACTAGAAAATACATGCATGCAGAAACCCTCGCCTTGCTGACAAAACCATTGTATTTTCCGAACATGAAGTTCTAATGTAGTTGTCATGGTAACACAATATTACCATTTGCGTTCAACTGGTCAGCGTCCCGATTTTTTCGCATTTGTTCACGTTTCAAACGAACACATTTCTGAGCGAAACGTACAGGTTTGAAGCGGTAAACTGTTACATTGTTTACAAAAATTTCCAACGTTTGTGGAAAAATCCGAACAGGTTTTGTTCATGTGATTAACCCGTTTGCAGGTTTTTACGTCATGTTTTATAGTTTGTTATTGTATCTTTTCCTATTTTTCCCGCGCAAAATTCTATTAATATAAATATATTATGCTGTTTGTGAACAAAACAACAAACAGTTTGCAACCAACAAGGCAAGATGGAATCAAAGTTGCAAGTTCAGGTTCAGATTGGAGATACTCGGCGTGTGTTTTTGATCAATCCGCCACAATCTTATATTGATTTAATAACAGCTATATTGCGTGAAATTCCGAAGACGAAATGTATGGAATTTGGATTGCAGTATGAAAACGACGAAGGTGAATATGTTGTATTGAATGACGACCCAGTTTGCTTGCGAATTGCAATTTCAGGCTCGAAGCACATTGAAGGAACGAATGTTTCTCGATTGAAATTACAAATATTCGAAGGGTCTTTTCCGAGCGTGAAACCAAAAGATGACAAAGATGCAGATCAACCAGGTCCAAGCTCAATTTCATCTGATCGTTCGACAGCACGAACTTGTTTAGATAAGGATTTTCAAAGATTTGATAGTAATGAGGAAGATTATGACAGTAATAACAGTGACTACGACATAACTTGCAATACAAATAAGTTGGCAGAAGAACGAACTCCTACTGAGAGATGCATCATAAAAAGCGAAGAAAAAATCGAACAAAAACGGTCCGTTATTCACAGTTTACGAGAGAAGTTACAAAAACCGAATCGAAACTAAAACGAGTCAAGTCAGATCCTCGTGATGGTAACGTTTGTAGAAATTGTCATTTGCGACTGGGACATACCTCTCGTTCATGTGACTATGGCAAATGCACGTCGGTCTTTAAATGTGGTATGGAAAAATTTCATCCTGGTGAACATAACGTTAAAGATATACGAAGTCAACTCAAAAAACACGAACGTGAATTTGAAAAATTGATCGAAGAGTTAAAATGCAAAAAAACCGCAGTCAGCGCTGCCAAAGACAAGGTTCAAGTCAGAATAGAAAGCGACTTGTTTCAAGCAAATAAAGCTACATATACCGTAAATGGAATAAAAAATTGGTCTTTGTTAAGGAAGCATGTCTACCTCGTGCAAGAATATTGCAAGAAAAACATGAATGGAAAAATACCAGCAAAACAAGATATGGAAATGATTTTAGACAAAGCTTTACTTGAGAGTAATTGCCCCAGTGTTACAAATACGTATCACAGGTCGAAGCAGACTGGCAGCCGGAAACGTGGAAATCCTGCAAAAGATTCACTCGAGAGAGTCGACATAGAGTTTCCAATAAGCAAACGTACCGGTTGCAGTTTCACTTCAGATGCTCACGACGAAGTTCCTCAGTCTCAAATTCTAAACACTGCCCCTCGTGATGAAGGAGAAGAAGCTGAACAGCTGGCCATAGTAATGCGGGAAAGCGTAAGGCATACTAATAGTAAAGAAACATTAACACCAAATCAGAGTCCTGCTTTCCCTTTTTCGTACGCTCCGCGTTTTCCCGTTTTTCCACCTGCTGTCAATTACAACCCCATTGCTATTCAACACGATCCAATAATGCCCACAATGCCTATGTATAACCAACCGTATCACTCAGCAAGCATTGAGAACTTTCCAACAACTTATCCACAAAGCCTTGGACATTTTCCTGCGTATCCAGCGAACGTTGGACCCTTTCATTATCCTCGAACTGAGTATGGTGTTTTGCCTATGAATTATGTACATGGTTCAAATGGTTTGAATTGTTATTCGACTCAAACGCAACTAGAACAAATGACCGAGAGCGAAGGGAAAGAAAAAGTCAAAGCTGTTGTTGAAAAATGTCAAGATATAGAAGTAAACTCTGACGACTCGTATGCAGCTGCGTCTCTTCTGATGAATATGGCAACACATCACACTGTCACTGATAATTGATATTGAAAAACGGTATACATATACATTGTTTATATTTGTTAGTTATGATAAAATGTTTGTTTTTTGTACATTTGTTTGGTATAAACTTCATTCATTTTATGTTATTTTAAAATGTGGGAACAGAAATTGTAATTATGATTTTGTTGATATTTTGTTTGCTATTTTAGACTATACAAATATGTTGTATGATGTAAACATGTGACTTCATGTTGCATTTATATTTATATTGCACGTTCATCATTTGCTATATATAGTAATATTTTATGATTTGTAAGAACCAGAATGAGTATAGAAAGACTCTGAGACAATGAAAGAACGTACTATTATTATATCGCTTTTACAATTTGAGGGAACTTATAGACTCTCCTGTTTATATTTATGAGACAGCTTATTAAATTCTTGTTTAATGTTGCTTTAGAAAAATATAATATGCATAGTGCATATACTGTATAAATCATTTGTTTAGGTATTTACAGTAAGGGGCCATTCACAAAGGATGTCCGGCCAAATGATGGATTTTCAGACCCCCCCCTTGTCCGGCATTGTCCGAATTAGTGACCCTCCCCCCGGACATCCGCCATGCCTCGCAAAAACTCGCACAACCTTGTATATATCAAGAGTAAAAAACTTTTTTTAACCGCATACCAATTTCACAATGGGAAGGACTGCTCAAAATAGAGGGAAAAAGAAATTTGTTTTTGAATTTTTTTAAATTTCGGACATCCGGATTGCTAACCCCCCCACCCTATGTCCGAGTTTGTCCTGATTTTCCAAACCCCCCCCCTTGGCTCGGACATCCTTTGTGAATGGCCCCTAATAGTAATAAAATACAGTAATCAAATTGAATTTTTTTTATTGTCACGCGTAAGAACATCATTACGTCATAACGTCATTTATTCAACGAAAAGATACGATGTGTGTTCGTAAAACCCAACCATATTGTGTGCCGTTATAGTGTCGACTGCCAAATTGGTATGAACGAGATCCTTCAAGCCTCCATTTAAAACAGTTTTAACCTTGTTGAAACACAATTCAATTGGGTTCAGATCAGGAGAGTAAGAAGGTGTGTATAACAATTCTATTCCCATCGTGTCAAACCACTCTTCCAAAATCTCCCGCCTTCATAATGATGCGCGGACATATTGTCCATCACAACAATGTCACCAACCTCGAGACACGGTCGACCAGTCTCGAATATTGGCAACTTCGCATGCTTCTTCAAAAAACATAAGAAAACGGAGCAGTATTGGTGCCTCCGTTAACGATGTTGTGGTAAACTGGGCCATCAAGAGAAACAAGCATATTCAATGTTTTATTGGGGGACTCGTGTTTTCTGACCACTTCAACACTGCGTGTCCCCTTAGCACTGTGTCCGTATGTTCTAGTTCCAACACAAGGAATTTTTATCCCAGCTTCGTCAAAAAATTTTAATCTATACGGATCTTTTGACGAAAGGTAATTGATGAAAAGCTGGGTATAGAACATGTTTTCCGGAGTGAATCTCTCTCTTGCCAATCTAGTGAGTTTTTTCCTCGTATATTGTTCGCCTGAAGGTAGCCTATTTTTAATGGCCCGCAAGATAGCTGACATAGAAATTTCTAGTGCTGGTAACTCTTGTATAATTTCAGAGAGTGAGATTGACGGCGAATTAACTTTTAAAACTTCGATCAACTCAAGGTCGCCTTCCTCCAATTTACTGTGTGTCATGCCTCCTTTTTTTTCCGGCGTCGTTGTCATTTCCTCACAAAATCGGTGCCACACAGATTTTATAGCCTTGCTCGACACACAAAACCGTCTTGATAACTTCGCAAAAGTACAAGGAATATAACCTGTGGCTCTATCGCCCCCTCTTTTATAATGCTATCAACAATTAAACATTTCAAATCTTGATCGAGAGCGACTCCTTGAGAATAACTTCTACCGAATTTGTTGACTTGTTTAGTTTCCATCATGATTTTAGAATACTGTTATAAGTTATCCGAAAGTTTTTACGCAAACAATTTGCGCGGGAAAAATAGGAAAAGATACAATAACAAACTATAAAACATGAGGTAAAAACCTGCAAACGGGTTAATCACGTGAACAAAACCTGTTCGGATTTTTCCACAAACGTTGGAAATTTTTGTAAACAATGTAACAGTTTACCGGTTCAAACCTGCACGTTTCGCTCAGAAATGTGTTCGTTTGAAACGTGAACAAATGCGAAAAAATCGGGATGCTGACCAGTTGAACGCAAATGGTAATAATTCTTTAAGAATATTCTTACAAATGAAAAATCGCCTAAAAATATCACTTTTAATTACAAAATTATTAATTTCCCAACATATATATGTTAGGTATGTTATTATACGTAATATAAGCCTCAATATAAGGTAAAATTCAACCACAAACGCTTCGCAAAACGTTTTAAAGTGCTGTTTAACTAAACTGCCTTTAATTAAATGGCTTTATCGATAAACTTTGAGTTTGCAGTAAAATGATTTCAAATTCTCGCTTGCAAATAACTTTGCTTTCTTTTTTATTTATTTAAAAAATTCAATATAATAAAAAAGTGAATCAATATTAAAGATACACTGAGCGAAATTATATTGTCTTGTTTAGTTGTTTCATATACGAAAAAGCCGTCGGGTTTTAAAGCCATTGTAAAATCAATATTTAAAACAAACTTACCTTCGTTAACGTCGGCTCCCTTCTTTTAGCCGATTCTTTCGAAGTTTCTTTCGGAGAGAGCTTTTGAAATTTACAAAATATTGCAAAAATGCGAGCAAAAATGAAATATATTTGCAAGAAATTTATCAATCATGAATCATCAAATTTTCAAATCAAGAAATAAACGCTATTTCGCTGTCGTCATGCAGTCGTTATAATGCAAACTTTAAATAGAACCAATCAGTGTCCGCTATTCATGACAGTCCGCCATATATTTGAGGTCAGTGAGGATGACCACCCACCCAACACCGTTAGTGACCCACGCCCGCGATATTTGATGAACTTTAGACTCCGCTAATGCTTTCGTTTCCCCGGGTGTAAATAGCCGGGGGGAATTAGTACCCTCGCACGGCGCTTCGTGCCGTTGGCTCGGGGATTAAAGACATAATGGTCAGTAATTAGAGATCTAGCAAAGCATTAGAATAGGTCAAGAGGAGTTGACCTAATGTTGGCATTTAAAGTGGGATTAAGCTTGGATATGAAAAGGCTTTCGCGAATGAGCAAATCTGCTTCAGAACTAGCAGTGGAAAGGATTTTAAAATCCGAGGGTGAAATTTGATGTTTGGTGGTGTGGATATGAGCGAGTATGCCAGACATGGTTGAAACAGAACGTTTCTTTCCCATCAAAGGTGAAACACTCATGTGTTCAGAGATACGCATGTGTATGTGTCGGCGAGTTTGACCAACATACAATGCACCACAGCATTGTATGTCGGCGAGTTTGACAAACATACAATGCACCACAGCATTGACACTTATACAAATACACCACATGTTATCTCAGTTCACTGGGAATTTTGTCCTTATATGGAAAGAAATTGGAAAGACAGAAAGAAGGACGAAAGACGACACGTAAAGAAATGTGTGGATATTTATATGTATGTATTTTTATGTATGAACGTTTTGCTGCAATAAATATATGTCGTTATATAAAAGTTGTGTGAGCGCATTGCTTGAATAAATTCACGTTTCATGAACGTTGTGAAAACGTTTGTTCTTACATTGTCTTACTACGTTGTGACAACGTCCTCTGGAGTCGACAAAATCACGTCCAGCGCACGTAAAGTCACGTTTTTTTCACGTATAAGTGGAACGTTCTCAAAACATTGTGAGAATGTTCTTTTTATGTTGTCTGACTATGTTGTGACAACATCCTCTGGAGTCAACAAAATCACGTCCAGCACACGTAAAGTGACAACGTTTTACCAGCATAAGCTGCACGTTTTAAAAACGTTGTGAGGACGTTTTTGTGCTAGCTGGGCTGTTCCTTCTTCGAACTCTGATTTCACTATGAGGTGCGCTTTGCTTGGATTTGGGCCGACGGATAGCAGGCATTGCCACCATCTTAAAGAAATTATCTTTCTGCCACCTGAGGAATCGTCAGCAAACCATACCTGTTTAACGGTTGGTTCATAGTGATCTCAGCTTGCAAGAGGATCTCCTTTGCAAGAGGATCTCCTTTGGTAATTCCCTCCGATGACTCAATTTCAGCCCCTCCCATTACGAATAACCGAACTGGTGCTTGATAGGTATTATTTAGCACTCTTGATAAGGAGGGACATATTATACCAATGTTATGTAATACTGCTTGCCTATTGATTGTGTTAAAAGTATTACTAGCATCCACTAGTAATACTGCTTCTGTTTCATCTGATATGATCTCTCTCATTGCATGAACTGCTGCTTCACATCCAGCTTTGTGGCCTTTGCATGCTTGTAGTGGACCCACAGCCTCCTGAACATCATTTCTCACCACTTTGACGATAGACTTTGCTATTATGCATCTAGGCACCTCGCCAATGCCCATAGGTCGAACCCCAGGATTCTTATCACATGGTATGAGTCGGCAGGCCACAAAAGCTGATAGGCCCTCCAAGTTGACAGGGAGGTACACAGACGACCAGCTGCTCCTGCCAGCGCATTACATAGATCAACCGAGGCACTTTTGAACGACGAACAAAAATGACGCCAAGAATATGCATCAACTCCTGAAGGACCAGCCGTGCCCTGTGGTTGTTTGCTGCAATCTTTATTGCCTCGCCCGTAATTCTCTCAAATATAACTGGATCGTGACATAGTTCATCCATGTCTGTCACTGTGAGAAGTGTTTTTGCAACAGGAGGACAGGCATGCGGATGCTTTTCAAGTAGGACTTCACGCATTGTTTTCCATTCAATATCACCGTTTTCATTTTCTCTGACAGGTATTGGGGAATCAATAGTTAACAAATCTCCCTTATTTGCACTAGAAATCAAACGAACAGCTTGTCTTGTCTTTCCCTGCAGCATTTTGTAACAACAGGCTCTACATGACTGAGCATGCTTTTAAAGCAATGCCTTATAAAGGGGAATTATCTGCATACGATTGATATAGTCTAGCTAGTTCTGGAATAAATGCTTTTCCGGCCTTCCCTGATGGCAATAGAAAGATATTTCGCCTTCACTTTACAATTTCCTCGTAAGCAACATTTACACGATGAACAAACAGTTCTCCTGATTTGCATTTATTACTTCCTCGTTAATACATACATTTTCACGAGTATGTATGTTTTCATACTGATCTTGTTGCCGATTTTCGTTTACTAGCTCATCACTGTTATTGTTACTCCCATTTGTCTCCTCGTCATATTGCTGATTATCTTCGCGAGCCTTTATTATGTGAGCAGCTTTATCTCTTAAATTTTGTGCTGTTAGACCCAGTGATGCATACCCTTTCTCTTCCCAGATAAGCCGCATTATTTCCATATAACCTTGTCTTCGTTTATCTTGGCTATTTCATTCTTCTGAAGCTCTTTCTCTGCACGATATAAGGTCTGATATCATTTGGTCAGTCCAAATTACTCGTTTACCTGCTGCATTTCGTTGCTTTGGTGGCATTTTGCAAGTATATTGTTTTGACCACAGTTCGTCTTAACTTTTGTAATGTCAAAACAGACATAGCCAGATTTCTCTTCAATTAAAGCTTAAATATAACTCTCGTTTGGGAACTTCACAGGATCTAACTCAGTCTAGAGAAATGGTGAAAACTTGCTCATCAGCCTTTATGATTTGCTTGCCAGCAACACGGCACCATATTGAGTTATAATGGTAATAATAATAGTAATAATAGTAATAATTGAAATAATAGTAATAATAGTAATAATAGACAAACATAGCGGATTACTTGAAGGCTTGTCACAGTTTTGCGTTATTGATTTTAATCTCGTTATACTATACCAGTGAAACTGTCTTGTTCTGACTTGTGTATATATTAAAGAACAGTCTGTTAAACTTGTATACCTACAAAAACTGAATTCGAGAATCTAATCGAAAATTAAATCTCAAGATGCCGCCTAAAAAGAAAGCTTCTAATAAACGTACAATGTGGTCTGACCAGATGATTTCGGATCTTATGTTATGTCGCGCTTCTTAGCAAGACATGGAGATTTGTCATATCAAGCTAAAAATGCTAGTGGCAGAAGAAAGGGTTATATGGAAATCATGAAAGAGCTTTGGGAAGAGAAAGGATATGCTTCACTTGGCTATACTGCTCAAAACCTACGAGACAAAGCTGCTCAAGTCCTTAAGACTACAGAAAGAACATTTTCAAATAGCCGCACAAATGATGTGAATGAGACATCTGTAAACTATTTCGAGAATGAAGAGTCCGATTTGGCTCATAATTTAAACAACCAACGATGTGAAATTCATTCAACAGAAGTACGAACAGAGGCCGAAAACGTCAACGAAGTTAATGTAAACACAACAGATGAAGTAAATAATATAAACGACCCGCCTCCTTCCGTCGGTTTGCCTACATCGACATACGCTACTTTTCAATGGGGAGATCTCTGATCCCAGTTGGTATAGACGATTAGGGTAACACACAATGGAAATCAACTAAAGAAATTCTTTTGGATAAACATCCGCACGGACGTACGCCAAGCGTTGATATACTTTTGCAGGATACGAAGCAGAGTCATTTTGATCCAATCTTATATAACAGAATTACCAGTGACACAATTAGAGATGCAGCCAATAAGATCCAGGGCTCCGCTGGTCTGTCAAGCATTGATGCACATCTATGGCATCGCTTTTGCTTGTCATATAAAATGGCCTCATCGGACTTGTGTAATGCACTTGCAGGAGTCGCTAGACGGTTGTGCACCAAGTCAGTTCACCCCGAAGGTTTGTCAGCTTTCGTGGCATGTAGGCTCATCCCCTTGGATAAGGATCCTGGAATACGCCCCATATGTATAGGCGAAGTGCCTAGGCATATTATAGCCAAGGCAATACTTAGAGTGGTTCGAGACGTCAAAGAAGCGGTGGGTCCGTTGCAAACATGTGCAGGTTTCGAGGCAGGCTGTGAAGCAGCTGTTCATGCTCTAAATCATATATGGGATTCAGAAGACACTGAAGGAATGCTTCTTGTTGATGCTACTAATGCCTTTAACACTCTAAATCGTAAGGCAGTGCTACATAACATCCAAGCCACTTGTCCAGTTAGAATGTTTGTGACAGGAGGAGGTGAAATTTCATCAATGGAAGGAACGACACAAGGAGACCTGTTGGCCATGGCAATGCATGCATTAGCTATTAGTCCTCTGATTAACAGCTTAAATGAGAAAGCACCAAATGCAAGTCAGGTGTGGTTTGCAGATGATTCCAATGCTGCAGGAAGACTCGAAGCGCTTAGGGACTGGTGGCAACATCTAGCTGATATTGGCCCAGAATATGGGTATTTTCCAAATGGTAGCAAGACAACTATGGTTGTAAAAGAAGAATGCCTTGATTGAGCAAAGGAACTATTTGAAAACACTGGCATTACAATCACCACTGATGGTCATAAAATGCTTGGTGCTGCATGTGGTAAACGTCCTTTTGTGGAAGAATATGTGGCAGACAAGATAAAAGAATGGGATGAAGAAATCATAAGATAGCCGAATCATATCCTCATGCTGCACATACTGCACATCCTCGCGTAATTATTGGGAAATGGCAATATCTTATGCGGACAGTTTGTGATGTTGGTGAAATGTTTCAAGTATCGGAGAACAGAATTGCAAACAACTTTATTCCAGCTTTAACCGGCAGAGAACCTTGCTCCAACGAAGAAAGAAAGCACTGCCAACACGTCATGGCGATCTCAATCTTCCTAACCCTGTTGATCTTGCCAAAATAAGCCAAACAATGTCTTATGAAAGACTACAAGTACATGAAATAAAGGCAGAGCTACGACAACAAAAGAATGAGTTCCACCAACAGTTAGCCTCGGATGTTCGGAAAACTTTGTCACCACAAAAGCAACGGATCATGGATTTACTGAAGGAAAAGGTTCATCATCATGGTTATCTGCGCTACCTTTGAAAGATCATGGATTTAGCTTAAACAAAGGCGAATTTCATTACACCTTATGTCTTAGGGCCTGTTCATATGATCCCGCTTGCCGGGACGTCTCGCTTACCGAGATGAATATTTCCGTGCGTTCATATGGAGTATTTCGTCCCGCTTGCCGAGATGAAATTACAATGTAGTTCTATAATTAGCGTATGCAAAACTTCTACATTTCAGTCAAGCAACACAAATACTTGGCGATTTTAGTGTTTTTCTTCGTTTATTTACAAGAAAAAGTATTGCTTCAGGTGGTTATTTAATACTTGTTTACAAAACAAACATAAAACCAAGTAAAAAGTGTTAAATTAAACCGGCAAGACTTGTGTCACTTCATCCCGGTAAGCGGGCTGGCGTGTTCATATGGAAAAATTTTCATCCCGCCTACCTATGATCTCGGCAAATTCAAACGAGATCTCGGCAAGCGGGCAAGCTCGCTTTCCCATATGAACACAATGCAAAATTTTATAGGAAAATAGATAGGCGGCGAGATCATCGGTAAGCGAGACGTCCCGGTAAGCGGGATCATATGAACAGGCCCTTAGATATGGATGGCAGCTCAGAAATCTCCCCCAGTACTGCATATGCAGAAAAGGGTTTTCAACTGATCATGCCATGATCTGCACTTATGGAGGTATGACTATTGCTCGACATAATGAAATCTGGGATCTAACAGCAGGTTGGTTAAATGAAGTTTGTAGAGAGACAGAAACTGATCCGCAACTACAGCCCCTTTCAGGAGAAATTATTCTACCTCGATCTGTGAATAAGCAAGATGATGCCCGAGTTGATATTAAGACCATCGGTTTCTGGGGACGACAAAGCGCATTCTTTGACGTTCGGGTTTTCCACCCAAATGCGCCAAGTTATCGTAACACCAGTGTTGCTGCCCTATTCCGAAAACATGAGTTGGATAAGAAAAGAGAATATGGTGAGCACGTGAGAGAGGTGGAAAACAGTTCTTTTACACCGCTGGTCTTTTCAACAACAGGAGGTGCTGCAGAGAAACTAGTGTTGTCTATAAGAGACTTGCCGATCTCCTTGCAAACAAACGGAAGTCTTCATATGACACTACTTTAGCGTGGATGCGGTGCCATATCTCTTTCGCTTTAATGAGATCTGCAATATCATGCATTAGAGGATCAAGGGGACAACGACGCCTTCGAGCTGATATGGGAATTGATACAGAAGTTGTCGAGAGTAACTTACTGAGCCATTCTTAAACATTAATTTGTTGATTATAATAAACATTTGACAACTTAAGTAATACAAACAAGATATTCGAGAAATTTTTAGCCAGTTTATAGAACAATTCGGAACATTTTCTATATTTTTTATAGTATATTTTATCAATAGTCTATTATAATAATTATTTGTCAATAAAATGTTCTTCGTAATAATAGTAATAATAATAATAATAATAGTAATAATTTTTTAATAATAATAATTTTTTAATAATAATAATTTCTATATAAATACATAAAAATATACAATCTGTCCCACTAAAAATCTTTAAAATGAATATTGTCTATAGTTTTGTGTCTATTGTTATTTTAAAAAGGGTATAGTGTTCTATTCTTACAGCTAGTCAAATTTGTAGTCCGCTTTCTTTACAAGCCAGTTCAATGTCAGTTGTGTCAATGTCTCAGCGCACCAAGGTTCGGCTGCCTCTTATCGCCAGGCCAGAGTGATACCATACTCACTCTTTCGCTTTTCTGCCAGCAACTCCGCCAGATGTTTATATGCAACGGCGGTCTCTTTCCCCATTCCACCAGTTGTCGAGAATACAAGTGGTGTGAAGACAGCGTACTCTACCTCCCTGATGTGGTCTCCGTATTCTCTCTTTGCCATCTCATGCTGCCTGTACAGTGAGGTTATGCCGGTATTTTGGTAGCTAGGTGCGTTTGGGTGGAAAACCCTTACGTCGAAAAATGCATCTTGCTGCTGGTTCCAAAACCCTTTCGCTCTAATATCGAGTCTTGCGTCATCCTGACAATTGGCTGTATGTGGTAGCATAACTTCACCCGAGAGCTGTTGAAGTGGTGGTTCCTTTACTACGTCAGAGCACACCTCATTTAGCCACTGAGCTGTTACATCTCTAATCTCATTATGCCTTGCTATAGGTAGTCCACTGAGAGGACATGTCATGGTGTGATCTGTTAAGAATGACTTTCCACACCTACAATAATGAGGGGTGTTTTTCAACTGCCAACCATATCGTAAACTTAGCGCATCACGAAATTCACCTTTATTCAAATTGAATCCCTGATCTTGTAATGGTAATGCCGAAAGCCATGATGAAGATCCTTTTTCACAAAGTAAATCCATCATTCTCTGCCTCGCCAGAGGCAGTTGTTCCCTCACCTGTTGAGACATATCTTTCATTCTCTCTTTCTTTTCCTGACGTAAACTAGCCTTAATGGATTGTAATTGGGGTTTACTAAATGACTCTCTCTGCTTGACTATCATGCCTTTGAGCGGCGCGCTGATTTTCTGTGAGGATTGATACTCATGACTTGCGTTGGTAATAGGATTAATGATATTTAGACCCCCATAACGTATGGGTAATGAAATGAAAGATCTTTCATTCGCATTACAGTGGCTTCTTCCGGTAAGTGCAGGTATAAAAACTTGATTGATTGAGTCTTCTAACGGTTCAAAAAGACTGTCAATGTCCTCGACTGTCCGCATTAAATACCTCCATTTGCTCACGATACAATGCGAGAATGCTGCATATGCAGATTGTGGGTAATGCTCCGCTATTTTGGCAAAATCTTCAATCTCATTCACAAAAACATCGATCTTTTCAGCAGTAAATGTTTTGACAAAATCGTGTGAGCCAATTGCTGATCCGAGCATTTCATGACCTTCTGAAGTTACTTTAATTCCTGTTCCTTCAAAGACTTTAATTGCTTCTTCTTCGAACTCTGATTTCACTATGAGGTGTGTGTTTTGCTTGGATTTGGGAAATAACCCATCTGCGGGCCGAAGGATAGTAGGCATTGCCACCATCTTCTTAAAGAAATTATCTTTCCGCCACCTGAGGAATCATCAGCAAACCATACCTGTAAGCAAACCATACCTGTTTAACGGTTGCTTCATGTGATCTCAGCTTACGAATTAAGGGTGTTACGGCCAGAGCATACATAGCCATTGCGAGAGGATCTCCTTAGGTAATTCCTTCTGATGACTCAATTTCAGCCCCTCCCGTTATGAATAACCGAACTGGTGCTTGATAGTAATAATAGTAATAATAGTAATAATTGGGCGACTGTGTTCAAGATTGGGGATGTGTATTTTTTTGCTGCAAAAATGTGTTGCTAAATTAAGAATGTTAGAAGCAACTTTTTATCAAATTGTTATGATTGTTTTTGTGTTCCGGATGTGGACAGTTCTTTTATTCACTTAAACAGAGCAAGTTGGTGATTTTAAGCAATTTCTACTGCTTAACAAAGTGTCAAAATATGGCGAATGCAACAACTAACACGAAAGGATGAACTAAACGTATGAAATGGACAGAACAAATGAACCTAGATTGCCTTGATTCTAAAAGGAAAGCCCTGGATATGATTGGTTCAGAGAACCCTCCTTTAAACGAAAATGGAAAACGAAGAGGATATATTAAAGTGATGAAAGAGTTATGTGATGAGCAGGGTTATGAGTATCTCAGTCTTTCTTGTCAAAATCTGAGAGATCAGGCAGCACGATTAGAGAAAACAATGGGGGACACAATAGTAATTAATAGTGGCAATGGAATAAAAGTAAACGTTGAAACGCGTACGACTGAAGGAAGTTTAAATTATGGAAGTTCAAGTGGAAGCCAGCATAAAAGCTCAAGTGGAAGTCAGCATGATATTCAATTCGATGATATCATAGATAATGCTATTGAAGACCAATACAAAGATACAATGAGATCTCTACGTTCAACTTCTGCAAATTCACAAGAGGGAATAACCATAAACATAAGCTTTCCGGAACATGAAATAACAGAAAAGCCTGCCATCATTAATGGATAAAAATGGTGTCTTGATAAACATCCAATCATCCGACATTATTAAAGCATATGAAGAAATTATCTGATGGAGAAAGAACGTCTTTCTTGTACCATATGGAAAGATAGGAAAATAATTTATTGATCAATTAACAACGCATGTCAATCAATGGAACAGTAAATCTGAAATATTGCTCTGAAAGCTGTCTTTGTACTCCTTGCTGTTGGGCTGCAAAAACCAGGGCCAAAATCTAAAGCGAAAGATCATAAAGAATGTCTGACGAAACGTTTGGCCGTGTGGAAAGATGGTCAAATTGATAAGCTGCTAAGAGAAGGGTGAATGATTCAAGCTCGCATTGGAAAGAGTCAGAAATCAGAACCTCCAGACAGAGCAAAAATCTTTGCCAAGCTCGTTATGGAAGGTCAAATAAATTCAGCAATGCGTTTCTTGAGCGAGGAGGGTAATGGTGGCGTGTTACCCCTATCTGATGATGTCATGCTTCAATTACGACAAAAGCACACAGAAGCAGAAGAAGCAAAAATCGGCACTCTTCTTTGTGGACCAGTGCAAGAAGTAATAGAAAGTTTATTTATTCCAATCAATGGTCAGATGGTAAGAGAGGCTGCCTTGAGGACGAAAGGTTCTGGAGGGCCTTCCGGGGTTGATGCTAATGGATTCAAGAGGATACTTGCTTGTAAATCCTTCAAAAAATCCTGCACCGCCCTTTGTGAAGCCTTAGCAACTTTAACAAAGACTCTGTGTACTGAATTTGTTGATCCAACTCTAATCGAGGCTTTGGTAGCAAGTCGTTTAATCCCTTTAGACAAAGGGGAAGGAGCCATTAGACCCATCAATGTTGGAGAGGTGCTAAGAAGAATTATCAGTAAGTGTGTGATGAAGATTGTTAAACCAGAGGTGTTGGAAGTAAGTGGCTCACTTCAACTTTGTGCAAGTCAACCGGCAGGAAGTGAGGCTGCAGTCCATGCTATGCGAAATATTTTTTATGCAGATGGTACAGATGTGGTCTTGTTAATTGATGCATCTAACACCTTTAATGCCTTAAACAGGGCTGCTGCCCTTCATAATTCCAGTGTCCTCTGCCCATCTATTGCAGTCTACGCCATCAACACGTACAGACTACTGTCACGATTGTTTGTAGTGGGTGGGCAGGAGTTGAAATCTTCGGAAGGAACAACACAGGGTGACCCTTTGTCAATGGCCATCTACGCAATTAGTCTTCAGCCACTCATCACTCAGCTAGATTAATGCATGGCTCCCATTCAAATATAGCCAAAAATACATTAAATTATATAAAAAAATCAGTTTAGTCTGTATGAATGTGGTCAAAGTTGGTATATGAGGACAAAAGGATTTTGTTTTTTTTCTATGCCTTTGTTGCCATGGCAACAGTCACGTGACCATTTAAATGGTCTCCATCCAAATGACCAAAACAAGGCCGCTGCTGGATATTCACTCAGATAAACTAACATTCACACATTAACGTTCTTTAGTACTCACAGATTATGGATCCATTCAGCCCCTGTTCCTACACCGTTCAGAATTTTATATATTTTCGATAATATGCAACTGACACTATGCTCTGGTGTCAACAAGTGCACATTATTTTGAAACTAAGCCAGCTCGGAGCAGGGGCTGATTCGTTTCATAAACTGTGAGGTTTCCATTAAATAGCATTGTTAATGTACTAAATTGACTAAAAACCGCGGTCAGCGAAGCAAACATGTTTTCTTCCATGTGATCACTTTAGTATCGCCGCCATCATTATGACCCCGCGTTGGAAGTTTAGCAGATACATACATAAATATGCAAAATTAACATTCCATTGTAAGATGACACGCAACAACAGGAATCTCAAATCTTTACCGCTTCAAAAGCAATAATTTGGCTATCAGAATGAACAATATTAGATTTATTACTGACGACTTAAAACATAGATAATATTTATATTGTAAAGAGGATGCGAAATTGTGATTAGATTGCTACTAATTAACTAATGTGAAGAAATTTAACTGCAAATGTTTAAGAATTACATAGAAGACATATTGACATTTCCTGTTGTTAGTTGTCAGTTTAGCCATTTTGTAATTGCGTTGTTTTACTTTGCCTGTTTCGTTAATAAATTATTTGAACGTAATTTTTTATGTAAATATTAAGGGATCGCCGTAATTGGGGGAACCTGTGGGGCATATCATGTTGACTAAATCCTCTATTGCATAATTGTAGGTATTTATCAAACCGGAAAAATATTATATGAGGAATGCAATTTAAATCCGAACGAGATCAATAAAACCAAATATTTTCCCATTTCAAACATTTGTTGATATATATATAGTTATTTAAAATTTGAGTCAGCTTTGCACAACAATATTTTGTGTATTTATTAGTGAGACGCAAGTGAATTTACAAACGCTACATCTTGCTATTATCTGCTGTTTGACAAGAGCCATTTGACAGTAATCCGCATAACTCTAATCATAATAATAATAATAATATATTAAGTCGTTCGGATTTTGGCGCAAAATTTAAAATTGATTTGATATACAGGTGCAATATATAAAGTATGGTCCTAAGTTTTAGTTTTGCCCACCCAAAAAAGACATTTTGAGAACAGACATTTTGAAACTTTATTACGCCCACGAAATGACGAATAGTATCAAAACACGCCCGCCTCCTGCGTGGTGCATAAAGGTCAATACGTGGATGGATCCATGCATTAATCTAGCTGAGCACACCCCCCCATGTTGTACGTTCTGCCAAGCAGTGCTGGTTTACAGATGATGCAAGTGGTGCAAGGTCTGTAACAAGAGGTAAAGAAGTGGTGGGATATGTTATCTGAAATCGGGCCTGATTATGGTTATTACCCAAAAGGTGAGAAATGTTGGTTGATCGTAAAACCGGAGAAAGAAAATATTTGGGGAAACAACGATTAACATAACAACACAAGGACGGAAACATCTAGGAGCAGCTGTCGGATCGCAGTCATATTTGGTTGAATATGTTAATGAGAAAGTCGAGGGATGGTTAGAAGAAGTAACAAAGCTAGCCAAATTTGCGGTGTCACAAGTGCAAGCGAGCCACGCGGTATATACATTTGGTCTGAAACACCGATGAACATATTTTCTCCGAACATTACCAGACATCCAAGATTTGATACAACCTTGAGAGAATAAAGGAATACCGAATGGTTTTCCGTGCAGGATTGCTTGATCCATGCACGCGGGATGTTGCGAGACTTTCGGAAAGCGTAAAAATACACGAGCCGTAGGCGAGTGTATTTTTACGCTTTCCAAAAGTTGAGCAACATCCCAAGTGCATGGATCATGCTATCCTGCACGGGAAAACCATTTGGTAATTGTTTTATAAAATTACTACAGTGAAACGACGCTTAACTTGATTAAAATTACTGATGAAATGTGCAGTTCTCACAACATTCGTGAATTAACCAATCAGAGAATCGCTACTCCACGCTATTGAAAACAACAACATATGTGAACAGAATTTGATCGCAAGTTCGCGAAAATATACAGCGAAAATACAAGGACTTTTTTAATAAAATATACGAAATTTGAAATGGAAAACCCGCTAAAAAGAGACCCAAAGTAGTTTTCAAGATTATCGACCTAAATATGTGAAGATTGCGAAGCGTTTGATCAACTTTGAAGCGAGAGATGTTGTACTTGCATGCCATGGTCTGATGAATTTCAATGCTACGTGTTGCTACTTGCTGAATAGCAACGTATTGATCAGAAATTTATTCATACAACTAAACCAACGTCTCAATAATTGGAAACTTACTTCGAAAGGTATCGTACAATGAAACTTTACAATGCGAGTATATTTGTAAAATTATGTCCAAAAATTTCTGTTCAGAATTTCCCGTGCAGGATTGTCTGATCCTGCACGGCTGTTGACCAATCAAATTGCATGTTTCACTGTAGTTATTATATAATGCAATTTCCTACATCTTTCTACCGGCGTTGACAGATCATGAATGCACCCAGCTCGAACGTGACATTCTGGCTTTACCCGTACGAAATGGTGGTCTAGGAATTCCAAATCCATGTCATGAAGCAATGAAGGAATACGCAGTCTCTATACAAGTAACAGGTCCACTGGTACACCAAATTGAATCACAAATGCATGAATTACCTGACCAATCAGACGTACAAGCACTGAAAAGGAAAGCAAGGCAAGAGAAAAATGAAATCGCAAAAGAGAAAGCTGATCTTATTATCAACTCAGTATCGCCAAAATCAAAACGTATGTTAGACCTTGCCTCAGAAAAAGGAGCTTCTACTTGGCTACAAGTTCTGCCAATTTCAGATATGGGTTTCAATTTGAACAAGCGTGAGTTTAAGGATGCTTTGAAACTGAGATACAATTGGCCACTTAGTGATATCCCATCAAACTGCGTATGTGGAGTGCCTTTCAACGTAGACCATGCTATGATATGTGGTCGAGGGGAGTTTATTATTCAACGTCACAACCAATTATGGGATTTAGAAGCTGAACTTCTAAACATTGTTTGTAATGATGTTCAGATTGAACCTACTCTACAAGAAATAAATGGTGAACCATTAAACCCAGGTGCAAATCGTTCACTTGACGCTCGACTTGACGTACGTGCACGTGGCTTTTGGGAGAGGCAAAGGTCTGCATTCTTTGATATCCAGGTATGTCACCCAAATGCAGAGTCCTACCGTGACCTAACTCCTGTACAGATCTATCGTATCCACGAGAATGAAAAGAAACGTATGTACAACAATCGGGTTACATATATTGAACAGGGAACATTTACTCCATTAGTCTTTACCACAACTGGTGGAATGGGAGAGGAGTGCTTGAGGTATCACTGTTGACTAACTGAGCTACTTGCTGAGAAGAAAGGAGAGACATATTCGAGGACTATGTCGTGGTTAAGAGCAAAAATATCATTTTCAATCCTTAGATCGGCGCTGCTATGCGTACAAGGCTCAAGAATGTTAAGAAGAGTACATTGTAACCCAGGGGACATATTGATGTTGAAATAGAGACAATATCGGCAAGGATCCATTAATTTGATCCTTTTTGGACCTTATTTATTGGACATTTTTAATGATTTTAGTAACAATTTTTATATTGGACGTTTTTTAATGATTTTTCAATGATTTTAGCAACTTTTATATTATTATTAATATATAAAGTTAATTAGTATAGGTTTTATGACAATAATTTCAGATAGACGTTATTTAATGAACAGAATATAAAACATTAATTCTTATTAACAGTATTTTTAATGATCTTTGTAAATTGAATGTATATACAATTAAATATTATTATTAAAAATAAAAAAAGTAATAATAGTAATAATAATAGTAATGATAGTAATGATGGTAATGATAGTAATAATAATAGTAATAATAATAATAATAGTAATTTTAAACAACAGAAATCTTTATTAATAACATGATAATTTATACAAATATATCACATAATTAGACTTTCAATTAAATCAGGAAAATAGAGAAACAGTTCACTATATTAGACAGATAGGTCCATTCTCTACACTTTGTATCAATAGTAGCTAATAAAAATTCAGTAAGTCTGGGTTATTCCACGGCTTGTTTCTTCTGCAGTAAATGTAGATTGTTGCTCTCAGAGCTACCTCCATACATTTTTTAATAATACGTTCGTCGTTCATTTTAAGTGTTCGTAATAATCTACGAAATCTGTCAATATCTTTCGACACAAACCCTAGAGTGGTTACTTCAAGTGTAATAACTTCAAACGCATAACACGCCGTGATCAGCTCAGATCTTAGATGTCTGTATCTTTCTTTCTTGCGACGTTTAGCCTTCGTACAATTGGTTTCGTAGGGAACAGTTAATTCAACCACATATACAGAACCCTTAAAATCCACCACTATATCAGGTCTTAGCGTTCGAAATAAAGTTGAAGTACAGGTCGTACCTGAATTAGGACAGTCAGCAAACAGTCGAAGATCTGCACCAACTGCGACTTTTAAGTGATGAATAATAGTCATCAGAATCGAGTCATGCCGCCAAGTATAGCATTGTTGTTCTAGGGCTACCTTGCAGTTGGAAAAAACGTGTAGCTGGGTTTGTAACTTGTTGCACAGCTCACAGTTGGCGGAGTCACGAATGTTCCAGCGCTTTAGGTTAGAATTATTTCCTAAACTTAAAATTAACGCTCTCCTAGCAAAGCATACTATATTGCTGGGCATTCGAGTGACAATTTCGTGCCATACTTTAATCATCTTCTTATAGCAAGTATCAGTTAAGCAGGTAATGATCACGGATTGTTCTTTTAGTTCTACAAAGTTTGACCAAATTTCGTTAAGGTTTTTCTTTACCAGAATCTTCTTTGCAGCGTTTCTTAACATATATTGTTCAGAGATACTAGCAGCCGCCCGTTCAATAATATCATCAGTGACGATGTTTTTTGATGACGTTTTGGTATATAGCTGTTGAATATCGGATAGTAATAATAATAATAGTAATAATAATAATAATAGTAATAATAATAGTAATAATAATAGTAATAGTAATGGAAACTTTATTGTAATCTTATACATTAAAATACATATAAATTTGATAGTATATATAACCTGATAAAACTAACTCATGTGTTTCTCTCCAATGTAAACATAGGGCAGTCCACAGAGATTACAGACATCGCTATAGTAGTAGATAATAGTAATAGTAATAATAGTAATAATGTACTGTTTAATAAACGAGCAGGAGTGTTTTATTATGTTTAAAGACACGAGCGCGCAGCGCGAGTGGCTTTAGACATAATAAAACACGACCTGCGAGTTTATTAAACGGCTTCAAACAGGACTACAAATTCAATAGATATGTTGCCTATTAGTATTCTTTATATAAAGAATACTAATGAGGACATCACTACAATAGATACTGCCTTATTAGTATTCTTTATATAAAGAATACTAATTAGGAGTTTTTATCAGGTTTAAAGCCACTGCACGTGACATATTATGGTTGACATGATTTGCCAATAAGCTTATGAATTATTAATGAGTGTTTGAAAGTAATAATAGTAATAATAATAATAGTAATAATAGTAATAATAGTAATAATAGTAATAATAATAATAGTAATAATAATAATATTTATTTTGGAAATCCTTAGACACAACAGACGTGTGTCTTTACATGATTTTTATGGTGGCCCACAACTGTCACACTATATATTTAGCTTCAACCAAATTAAATTTGCTCACATCAAATTAAAATTGTTCACATCAAATTAAAATTGCTCACATCAAAATGAGCAACGTGAAGGGAACTTGTACAGTATCTCTGGGCAATAACTGCATGGTCATACTGTATGTTTCACACATTAAGACATACGTTTTTACAAAGTTTATTAGTTTTCAAATACATGAACATCTTTTTCTGTATATAATAGTAGAGAGTACTATGTTTTGCACCAATTGTGGGATTGATTTAGACAACAACACAAACTACTGCACTGGCTGTGGACAAGGTAAACAGTATAATTATAATTGTTTTTGTTTGTGGAAACACCACGTAAATTTATTACTGCAGTAATAAATTTACGTGGTGTTTCCACAAACAAAAACAATTATATTTTATCGCCATGCAAACATTCAAAGAACTTAGTATAATTATAAATCAATATTCATTTACTGTCACTGATATAAGAGAATATTAACAACTTTGTCAGTGTTTGTCTGCAGGGCCATACGCAGGATTTTTTGACCAGGGGGGCAGTAAGGCCCATATGCTGAAAAAGTCCTAAATATCTAAAGGATAAGTAATAATGTCATTCTAAAAATCATAAATATAGTTTTCTCTGGGGGGGGGGGGCAACTGCCCACCTTGCCACCCCCCCCATCCCCGCTGTGTACTGCCCTGCTTGTTTGATGTTTCTGCGCCAGCAGGATAATGATTAATGGTATCCTGGTTGACTTATAGGATTTTCAAGTTTCCACTAAAAAGGTTTTAAAGTTAGCATAAAACACATTGATCTATCAGACAACAATTAAATTGTAAAAATAACACTATCTGGATGTCATTTTATAATTCTTGGGTATGAAATATGGAACAAAATTGAAATATAATAGTTATTGTTATTACACTGTAAAAAATAAATTAATTGGTTGTTTCAGATCCACTTATTTGACCAATATTTTATTGGTTAAAACAACCAAAAATTTGATTATTTTAACAGTGTGTAGTGTTAAATAGGGATAAAAGTTAAAATGTAATTATTGACTAAGCATACAGATGTTTTTTTCAGAAGCTAACATGGAGAGTTCAGATGACAATTCTGATTTTACTGATGATACATTTGAAGACATCGAGGAAGAAAGTTCTGAAATATTATTTCTTTTGCGGATTTACCTATTAAGAAATTCTTTTGTTTCTGGCTAAACAGCATCATTGTACTATAAGTTATAGCACTCTTTTTCGGCGGTTGAAGAAATATGGTTTAATGAGAAGAGGTGTACCAAACAAGGATTAATTTGAAAACACATTTCTGCAAGTGCAGAGGCGCATAGCGGAACTTATTTACAGGCCTGGCTCATCCATGGGGTACCGTGCAATATGGCATGCATTTGAACTAGAGGGGATTCATGTCCCTAGAGTAATTGTTCAAGATTTGTTAAAGGAAATGGATCCTGGCGGAGAAAACTAAGAGCTTCGTTTTCTGCTTAGCTTCGCCACTTTGCGTAGCTTTGAAAGCTTTTCGAAAACAAAACTGGGATAAAGGGACTTAAACTTTGGAGGTATAAGAACAGAAAACTGAAGGTGCGGAACTTCGGAAAAGACATCGTCTAAAAAGACGAGCCTACCACAATCCTGGCCTCAATTATTCATGGCATATTGATGGTTATGATAAACTTAAATGTTGGGGTTTTCCAATACACGGAGCGATTGACAGCTACAGTCGAAGAATTTTGTGGCTTTGTGTTACTTGTTCCAACAACTCGCCAAATCAAATAGCTTCTTTCTATGCTGGAGTTGTTTTATAACAAGGTGGTTGTCCAGTACAATTAGTGACCGATTTGGGAACTGAAAATGGAACTGCAGCCGCTTTACAGTCATATTTCCATGATAACTCCGAGGCTCATCGATACGTACCCTCACCAAGAAATCAACGAATCGAAGGATGGTGGGCATACTATGCCAGGAGTCACAGCCAGTGCTGGAGGATTTTTTTCAAAGACTTGGAATCACAGGGGATTGTGGGCACAGCTTGTGAAATAAATATGGAGTGTTTATGGTATTGTTTTCACAAGTTATTACAGACTGAGCTAGACTTAGTGAAAGAGCACTGGAATTCCCATAGAATTCGGAAATCAAGACACAATACCATTCCAGGACGACCGGATTCTCTTTATTTTTTGCCACAGCTTCATGGATCGAGAGATTATTTATTTCAATTAGCTGCAGCTGAAATCAGATTTGCTTCAGAGAACATAATTGAAGATGAATTAGCAAATGATCACCAAGAATACTTTGAATATGTCAGAAATAATCTCTCTTTGTCACACCCCGAAGACTGGGAAGAAACATTGAACATGTTCAGAAGATTAATGAATATAGCAGCTAATGGGGATGATTAATTGACGAAACGATGCACATTAACAATGACTATGGTTGTTTAATGGAAACACATAAAGCAACCTGTGGCATTCAAATCTTAATCTCAAACAATTTCGGTTAGCACTATTTTCCATCCAGCAAACTGACCTGATGTCATTTTCGCAAGATAGAAGAGGTGTTAAATGGCTATGTAACTAACCCAAACCCTACCCCTACTCTAACCCCTAACCTCAATCCTAACTCTAACACTATTTACAGTGGTCTTACCCATTACGACTATATGAGTCACACCCACTTCAGGTCAAGTGTCAGTTTGCTCAAGCAGCTTTACAAGCAACATGTCTCACACTAACAGTACCGAAGAAGCCGCACAAGTTCCACGGCGAGGTGACGATGCCAATGTAATTCAACAACTTGTGCAAGAAGGGGCAGGAACGTCAATTTCACAAGCTACTCCACCGGACCAAGAGGTATATTTGCAGTTTAATTTGCCGTGTATTGTCTTTTGCAACTTTCCGCATGCTCTGTCCCTGCTTATGATCTTTTGTTGCCGTACAGATTTTTCTTGCTCGTTGTAGCATGCCATTTGCTTACTATTCCTTTATCTTATATCGCCTTTGCAATCTAGACTGACACTATAACTTATAAGACTACTGATCTCCTTTCTTTCGTTTTCATGCTTTCTTTGCTAAGTTTCCTGGCATTTTTGAGCAAGATTGTTCGATTTTCTGTTTCTCACATTTTGTTTGCATATATCGGTAGTTTGTGCATGATTAGCTAGTCCTTCTTGTATTCTTAATTTTGCCCAAGAATGTGTCCCCGAGTTGTGATTTATTCCATTTTCTTTTATGTGGTTTTGCCCATCCATGCAATTAAAACGAGTTCATGCGTGGCTTGTTCTGCTTCATTTGGATGTATTGTTTCATATTTTACCACAGCATTAGTGTTGTTCCGTTTCTTTCCTCATGCATATGGCAGGCCTAACAGTATATTCCTATTCAGCTGTAAGTCTCATTTGTTTCTTCGCACACACTTGGCTGATTTTGTGTTGAATTATGTTTTCCTGCATTGTCATTGAGATGTTTACTTAATTTGTTTCCTCATGCAGATGTTATTGGCTTTGATTGATATTTTCCTGCATTGAGATGTTTATTCAATTTGTTTCCTCATGAAGATGTTTATTGGCCTTTGCATTATATTTTTCTGCATTGAGAGTTGAGTTATAATATATTTTCCTGCATTGAGATATTTATTCAATTTGTTTCCTCATGCAGATGTTATTGCCTTGAGTTATATTTTCCTGCATTGAGATGTTTATTCAATTTGTTTCCTCATGAAGATGTTATTGGCCTTGAGTTATATTTTCCTGCATTGAGATTTTTATTTAAGTTGTTTGCTCATGCAGATGTTATTGGCCTTTAGTTATATTTTCCTGCATTGAGATATTTATTCAACTTGTTTCCTCATGCAGATGTTATTGGCCTTGAGTTATATTTTCCTGCATTGAGATGTTTATTTAAGTTATTTGCTCATGCAGATGTTATTGGCCTTGAGTTATATTTTCCTGCATTGAGATGTTTATTCAAGTTGTCTGCTCATGCAGATGTTATTGGCCTTGAGTTATATTTTTCTGCATTGAGATGTTTATTCAAGTTGTTTGCTCATGCAGATGTTATTGGCCTTGAGTTATATTTTCCTGCATTGCGATGCTTATTTGATTTGTTTCTTCATGCAGATGTTATTGGCTTTGAATTATATTTTCCTGCCTTGAGATGTTTATTCAATTTGTTTCCTCGTGCAGATGTATACTGTTCTTGCGTTCGGTTTCCTGCCTTATTTGTTTATTTATTTTGTTTCCTCATGCAGCTCATAACCCTAATTTCTGTTTCCTGCATGCAATGTTTCGTTCAAATATTTGATTGGTTTGTACCTTTGTTTTCCCTTAATCGGAATATGACCTAATTATAATTTCTGCCTCTATACGCTTGGTCTATTTTCATCCATTCCCTATTGTTCTTATGCATACATTTCCCGTGGGGTTCTTTGTAGTAATACTAATGTCAGAATAACACGGATTATTCCGTCTGTGTTGGAAATTTGTTCCTGTTTAGTTTTCGTTCTGCCATGTTTACTTATCCTGTTTTGTGTGTCCATTGTTTTCTATAGATAGGTCGTATTCCCCATCCTGTGTTTATGCCTCAGTCATTCAGTTTACATGGGTTTTGGCATTTCAGTTTTCTTAGTTATAGATTCCCCGACCTTTTGTTTGCAGAAACATGGAGTAGATTTTATTTTGTTATGCATGCTTTGTTGTGCAATCTCGTGATACTATATCTGTTTCCCCTTATTAACATGTTACTTTGTTTTCTTTCCTTATGGCGAAGTGTGCTTTTGGACCGATATTAATGTTTGCGGATCATGTTTCTTATGTCTCTAGCTTATGTCATGCCTTGTTTCTTTGTATCACGTTTTGCTTGCATATTTTATAATCGCGATATACCATTTTAATGCCCTTGTCTTATAATTTTCTTGCCGGGCGTTTTATTCGGTTTCTATTTACCTTGTGGTGTAGTTTATACGTATTTTCCTTGCTATGTTAGTTTCAATTTTATATTTCGCTTTGTTTTGCTTTCCCTTAGTTACGCACTAGTTTTAACTGCCATGGCGTTCAGTTTGTCTAAGGTACCTATGTCTTATACGCCTTTTGTTTTATTTCTTAGAATGACATTCCTGCATTGCTCGAGCGGATAAAAACTTTAGAGAGTTTGTCACAGCCAGACGTCCCATCTCATTTATTACGCTTGTCTCAATATGGTTTACGTAGTGCGTCTGATTTTGACAAATATCACGCCCTCAATTTAGCCGAAGCGGCAGCAAGAGAAGCTCACCGCGTTCATGACTCGAAGGCATCGTTTTTGGATGCAGCCATTCAGACATTGCAGTCTCATGTTTCCATCTCCCTTGACAAGTTTCAAGCCTATTTCACTGCTCTATTTTGTGACAAAGATTATACCAAGATTCTCAAGTGTATTGCTCGTGTTGATAAAGTGTTCCAGACTAAGGCACCGGCTTCTCGTTCCTCTGTTGAACGGTCCAATTCCCCTAGTCCAGCCCACTGTGGTTGTGTTGTGTGTTTTCATTGTGGAATTCCTGGACATATAGCCCCAAACTACTTCAGACGTCGCTGTGAGTCTGGTTGGCAGAGCAATGCTCCCCTCGGTCAGCGCTTTGCACCATATCCGAGATTGTTAGAACAATCCCAACAGGACCAATCATCAAACAATTTGCCACGGCGTTAGCATGTTTCTATGACAAACGTTTGATCGTGTTGTTGTGCACATTCTTACACTGTTATACATTTGCATAACTTGTTAATAAAATTTGTTCTCTGCATTTTGTGTTGTTGTTTGTTTTTTTCCCCTCTCTTCTGAAAGGTTTTCTTGTCTTTACTTGGGTGCCTTTTCTTTTCGACTGTTTTGAACAGGAATCCAATTCCTGCTCGGATTACCGGGACTCAAAGCTGTCATCCCCTGGGTTCTGCTTTCATATTCTCTCTCTTACGTTCATCTTTGTTCTTTCTGCTAGCCTCCCACCAAAAAAGTACGTCTCGAATCTGTATTTCGCTTGTGGGAACCTGAACCTGATTTTTCTCCACATGATATAATGCCTCCACCTCCGCATTGGGTTTGTTTTGATGGATCGGACCCCAATAAATCCAAGGGGATGACAGTGAATAATGCCCATATATCCGAGCAGTTCCTTCAAGATGTTCTTCGTGGCGAAAAACTTGCTGATGTTACTCTTCTCCTTTTTCGCGACCCGAAGCATTTTACAGCGGGTAATCTCCATAGCAAAACTGTTCACAAACTTCCCATCATGCAAACCGTTTTTGACGTTCATTTCAAATACTATCCGCGAGCGTCTGGCCTCCGGTAAAGCTCGTAATGCCCTTGACGGTTGAACCCACTAAACCACGATTGTGTAATGATAACCGGTTTTTGAATCTTTGGATGAAGGATACTCCGTTCCGGCTGGACACCATTGTCTCTCTCCCGCGCTACGTTTCACAAGATTCCTTCCAATCTGTTTGCGATGACAAATCTGGATATGACCACATTTTTCTATCAGAAGATAGTCGCACCCTACTTTGGCTTCCAATGGGCCGGGTGGTACTTTGTCAGTAACACTATTCCGTTTGGCTGGAAGACTTCAGCGTATATCTACCACTCAACTGGTTTACTTGTCTCTCATTTCTTTCGATCTAATCTTATCCCTTGTTCTTTGTATATTTCTAATCTTATCCCTTGTTCTTTGTATATTGATGACTGTCACACTGGTGAGCTCATTTTGCCTTTGCTTCTCCCTACAGCATACCAGCAGTTAGCCTCGGCTTTCGAAAGGCACATGGCGGCAGCCTCTGCTGCAATTTTCTTTGTCTGTTATACGTTAGTTTCGTTAGGGTATTTCATTGGGCTCGATAAATCAGTTTTGTTACCTTGCCAGGTAGTACCATATCTAGGTTTCAGTATTGACTCCCGCGAACAAGCGTTTCGTATTCTTCCTACCAAAAGAGAAAAATTTTGTTCATTGATTTGCTCTGTGCTTTCGTCATCCTTCATTGATAAAAAACTCTTCAGCGTCTATGCGGAAAGTGTAATTCGTTATCTCTGGTCGTACCAGGTGCTCGTATGTTCACTAATGAAATCAATTTGGCTATTAGCAAAGCTGCTCGTTCTTCACGACCTATTTTGCTTGTCGGCTGTCTACAGGCAGAAATTGAGTCTTGGGACTTTTTAGATAACTGGCGGGGGTCTTTACCTTGGCGGTCAGAATTTCACCATCAACTTGTTCTATTCTCTGATGCTAGTTCTTCTGGCTGGGATGGTATCTTCAACCCTGGCGCCCTTTCGGTGAGCATACAAGATTATTGGCAGCAAACCCACTCTACACTTGACATCAATACTAAGGAGATGCTCGCTCTTGCTAACGTCCTCGACTCCTTTTCTTCAACTATCAGTAATTCTTGGGTTGATGCGTTTACAGATAGCCAAGTTTTGCTTCAGTCCTGGTCACGACAGGGCGCAAAATCGCCTAATGTTATAGCTGCTGAAAAGCAATTATTTGCCATTGTTTCACGCTCTAACATTCATCTCAGTTTACATCACATTCCCTCCCGTTTCAATCTTGCCGACACACCCTCCCGACGACTCTCTTTGCTTGAGTCCATGTTGTCTTCTGACACCTGGGCTCAGGTTCAAGACCATTTTGGCGGCCCATTTGGCCACTCTGTGGATCTTATGGCTCTACCTTCAAATGTGCAACATGCCTTGTCAGGACATCCCCTTCCTTTCTTCTTGCCTGTGCCTTCGCCAGGGGCTTCAGGGGTTAATGTTTTCTCTCAGCTTCCGCACCATCACGCATTTTTTCACAATCTATATGCTTTTTCTCCAATCATTCTTATACCGAAATTGTTGCATTTTCTTTCCTGCCATGGTATTTCTTGTATGCTGGTTGTTCCTGATGTACATCCTTGCAAGTTTTGGTGGCCATTATTGCAGCGATTTCAGTCTGCTTGTTTGGCTACACGTGGCACCCTCAGCATTGTTTTGCCCCCAACGAAACATGGGTTTTCCTTAACATGGCCGTTACCATGGGATTTATGGGTTTTTCGTTTTATTCCACCATTGATGCCGTTTTGAAGGTGGAGTTTCAAGGAACTATCAAACGGCGATTAATTGTGTGTCACATTTCATAAGCTAGTGCCAAATTATTATGGCATTTTTGTATTGTTAAATTTATAGTTCATCATATTACACAATCAGTTTTCACAATGCAGTCTCCAGTCTTATTAGTGTTCACTGCAATCTATTTTCCTCACATTTAGGATCTGGTCCCGGTTGCTCGGCTTTTTTCCCTGGCAGTTGCGTGTCCATCATGCCAATATCAAACGATAGTACATATTTAATTTTTGTCAACGGTGTGGTTATGCCCAACGTCAATTAGCTCCTCCGTCACGTAAACCTGTTCAGTATGATTTGCCTTCCATTGATCGCCGGGTTGCCAAGCTTCAGGAAAAACATCCCTCAACCACGTATGCCAAGCGAAAACAGTCGCTAAAAGATGAATTAGAAGATTTTCTCCACGCATTACTGGGCAAGAAGACCATGTTTACCACAACCCCTATCGATGTTTGCAGGTTCCTCGTTTATAAGGATCATTGTGGTAAATCCCAGCTTCATTCCCAAGGTTGTCCTAATGTAGCAAAGCGCTGTCTTTCATCTTGTAGCTGTCCAAGGCATTTAGCGTATGGTACAGTTGACTCCTACATCGGCAAATTACGAGCCATTTATTCAGACACGAGTCGACAGGGAGATTGGAATCGCGCCTTACATTTAGGCAATCCTGCGGCAGATGATCTAGTGAAGTTGTACCTCAAGCAAGTGATGGCAGAACAATTACAAGCTCACTCCACGCCCAAGCAAGCGCTTCCTATATTCCCTTACAACTCTCCCGTTCTTTAGAGAAAAGCATTCTGCGCCCGTCTCATTCTGCGCCCGTCTCATTCACCGTCCGAAATCTTTATATTGGCTCGGGATCAGACCTTCTTTAAGGCACTATTGTACTCGGGGGATTGCGCAGGGGACTTAGGGCTCGTACAAACTTCAGAGATTGGCCGGTTTCCGGATGATAGTGGTCTACTTTTCAACCACATCTGTCGTCTGGGGTAAAACTTTGCGTGATGGATCACAAGATCTTTTTGGTATGCGGCGCCGCAAATTTCGAAACCGTCGACGGTCGAGCACATCATTGATGGTCGAACACATCATTAATCTGGTTCCCAGATTGCTTTTGAGGTGATTAGCGTGTGGAACCATTTGGTGACACCTTAAACCAATCGATGCCAGTAAAGATTTTACGCAGTATGATAGTATAAGGTTTCAGATTTTTGAAAAGATGGCATGCAAAGCAGCCAATTCGGTTATTATTCATTCTACAAAAGAGTTCAGAAATTAGTTATAAACAGATTTTTCACATTAAGTGTGGGCTTAGTTGTGTTTAAAGGCCGATAAAACTGGCTTATATTGTGTAAACGGCTAAACAACTGCTGTAACTTGGTCAAAAAAGCGTTATAATATGCTCTGTGCGTCAATTTTTTATATTCATCAAGTAACCTACCGTATTTTTAACGTACGAAGTCACGAGAACGAAGAAACGAATTTTAAGCCAAATTAAATATAATGGCACAATCGGAGACGTGCTCGCTAGTAACACGATACGCTAAGATTTGTTACTAAAGGCCCTGTCACACTATTGTGTATCGTACTAGCGTATGCCAGCGCATGAAAAATATCACTTATACGCCGGTATATACGCTTCTCACACGTTTCTCTCATACGCAATAGTGTGACAGGGCCTTAAAGAAAGCTTGATATGTTTTCTATTGCTCAATATACATATGAGTGCACGTGGTTCAAGTAAAAATGGAACCGCACAGCTAATACTATAACTAGCATTTCACTTTTACTTGAACCACTCGACATATATCATATTTCAATTTTAGCATTAGCCATGGACTTATCAAAAGTGCAAGGTTTATAGATATATTATTATAGATAGACATTATGTTAAAGCTAACTGTAAATAGCATGTATAATATTGTTGCTAATGTTGGTATTTTCCACGTCACTCTGTTGTATCTAGTTTTGAGATGGTTCTCTATATTTCACTTCACAAGAGTTTTAATTAGTGAAGACACTTAGATACTTCAAAGTTAAGATAATCAAGTAAATTTTAGAAGATAGTTACTGCAACACTTGTGCGAAGAGCAGTAACCAGTAAACCGAATTGGCTGCTTTGCTTTTCGACTGCTACCCGCTATCTTTTCAAAAAATCTGAAACCTTATACTGCGTGAAATCTCCAGTCACTGACATCGTCTTGGTACAAGATGTCACCGAATGGTTTGTACGCGCTCATTACCGCTGGCGCGATTTGGGAACGAGATTAATGATGTGTTCGACCATCAATGATGTGCTCGACCATCTACGATTTCGAAATTTGCTGCGGCGCCATCCAAATCCTACCTTGTGCCCTGTACGTGGAATTGAACCATACGTCTCCATTGCTGGTGAACTCTCCGTTGATCTGTCGGCAGGATATTTATTCCGTCCAACTAAACCTCAAGGTCATGTTCTCAACCGACCGCTATCGAGTTCTGCCGCAGCCGCGAGCCTTAAGTTATATCTCTGGCAGGCCAACATTGACTCAGGAGAAACTTTTCACAGCTTTAGATCTGGCTGCGCTCTTACGCTCACCACCAAGTTGCTGACATTTACAGGGATTTTAATCATTTAAAGAATTTTATCCAGGCATTTCCTTCTACCGAACTTTTGAAGAGAAAAGCCCCCGATTCTTAGGTGTTTGAGTTTGGGTTTTCTTTGAGTTTTGGAGATTTTCTGTGAGTTGGGTTATCCATGAGTCTTCAGGCATGCATCCCGCTGTGGCCGCCAGACTCCATAACTCAAAGGAGTACGGGTAGGACCGGTGTAAATAGGATACTATTTACAGCGGTCTTACCAATTACAACTATATGAGTCACACTCACTTCAGGTCAAGTGTCAGTTTGCTCAAGCAGGCTTTGTAGAACAGCCGGTCTCAGAACTTACTTAAATAATATACCTTGCTTTCTATGCTCTCGGCATTACCTGTACTCCGCACCCTTCGGCCACTTCTTGTTTCCCACCCTTCCCACCTCGGGACATTTCTTCTATGCATCACCAAAGAAGTGGCTGCCAGACTCCATAACTCAGGTAGGACCGCTGTAAATAGGATACTAACCGAATGAATAAAAAAATCCAAAAAGAAACTTTACAAAATCGATAGGGCGGTTTGCCGGATGGAAAAAAGTGCTAACCAACAATTTCAACAATTACAGAATTGTTCGCTATGGCAACAACTACAAAAATAGGTACGCACTGCGTACATGTGGCTAGCCTATTCACATTGTCATGAATATTCATCACAAACATTAATTGTGATACAAAATTGATAATTACAATAGAAGAATGGTCAAAATAAAACAGATGCAGTATATTTACTTCGCTTTAATAATAAACATGTATACAGCACCTAATGATGTCACTTTTACTGTTTTTCAAAATTTCACTAATATGTAATTCACTAAGATTTCATTACATGGGTTTCCTTTTACAAATATATTCTGGTGTCTGGTTTACAAGTTATTAGCTTTTTTTGAATTGTTGGCATCGCAGATTTCATAAAACCTTTAACCCATTAAGCTGCAGAGCTTCCCCACTGACGAGTAAAATCGTCTGGCTTGCAGCTCAATGGGTTAAATTCAAAGTTCTTCATTTACTTCACTAGATTCTAAACATTTTCTATTTATTGTAAGATCAAAAAGCGTCAGAATTTATAATGAACTCATCCAATTAATTACCGTAAAGTCTCGAAAGTAAGCGCCCTGCTTACTTTCGAAATTAGTGGCCTCAAGGGGCACTTTCTTTTGAGGGATAGATATATAATTTTAATACTCTGAGGTGATACAATAATTTAAAACAATATACATTACACAAATATAGAGTAAAGGCTACAAAGAAATAACCATAAGGGATAATCAAGCTAAGTAGCACATTTAGACAAAAGATGCAAGCGAAAGACGAAATGTATATATATATAATCAAATCATATGCATGCAAAGACAAAGTACAATAGACGCAAAAGAATATACCATAAAAAATGTCACAAATGGAAACCGAATTTATTCATTATAAGCTTGAAGTAGAGTTTTTAAATAATTTTTTGAAATTATATTTGCTTAGAGATTTCAATTTACTATCAATAGAATTCCAGATTAAACTACCACAGTAGCGCAGATTAAACCAACCATAATCTGTCCGAATTTTTGGAATATATAAAAAATTTTTTGTAGAAGATCTAGTGTTATAATTATGTACTTCGGAAACATTTTGAAAGAAATTATCAAAGACAGCGGGTAAATTACCCACGTGGAAGTCAAACATGAACAGAGCATTTTGATAGTATATTAAATCGACAAATTTAAGTATGTCACAGTGTTTGAAAAGAGGGGTTGAGTGTGCCCTAAAACTGGAGAAAGTCATTATTCTGACTGCCTTTTTCTGCAACCGTATTAAAGTATCAAGATTAGATTGATATGTATTGCCCCAAACTGGTAAAGCGTACGTCAAATATGGATAAATGAGGGTATAGTATAATTGTTTAAGTATATGTAAACCCACGAAATTGCGAATTTTTGAGATTACACCAATGCAGCGTTTAATTTTGTTTGATATATGAGTAATGTGACTTTTCCAACATAAGTTTGAGTCAAGTAAAATTCCTAAGTATTTGATATATTTTTCTTGTTTAATTTGACTATTGTTGATAAATAAAGCAATCATGTGATTTGGAGTTCGCTGAGGAGGATGAAACAAAACAAAGTTTGTTTTGTCAACATTTAATGACAGTTTGTTAGCTGCCAACCAGTCAAAAATTTTCCCCCAATTTCTATTAACAGTTATTTCTAGATTAACAAGATTTGCATTAGCATGAAAAAGATTAGTGTCATCTGCAAATATGTTAAATTCAAAAATGTCACTGTAGTTATGGAAGTCATTATATAAGAGGAATAAAAGGGGACCCAATACTGAACTTGTGGAACACCATATTTAATTGGAGTTTCATCGGATTTGATATGCCCGATTGAAACAAATTGATGTATGTTACTTAAATATGAGGAAAACCAATCGTAAGCCAAACCTCTTATTCCATAATGATCAAGCTTGTTGAGAAGGATGTCATGGTTTACAATGTCAAATGCTTTGGAAAAATCTAAAAATATTCCACAGGAATACCATCCCTTCTCAATTGCTTGTTGAATGTTATCGGTTATTGAAGAGCTGCTTGTAACGTTGAATGCTTAGAATGAAAACCAAACTGTTTGTTATATAAAATTTCACATTTTTCAATAAATCTAGTTAATCTTGTATACATTAATTTTTCCAAAATTTTACTAAAAATGGAGAGAAGTGAGATTGGACGATAATTTGTTAACATAGTCAGTGGGCCTTTTTTGTGAATTGGAAGCATGTTGGCTATTTTGAATTGGCCTGGAACCGTGCCAGTCAGGAAGGAAAGATTATTTCAAGAGGAGTAGACAGGCTAGATTTAGCTGTTTTTAGTAAATTAATTGGAATACTAAAAGGGCCTGTTGCTTTGGAAGATTTAAGTTTTCCAATTTCATACTCAATTTCACTTTTTAGAACAGGAGACATAAAGAAGGGGGCGCTTACTTTCGAAGGGCGCCTACTTTTGAGTTGTTATTTTCAGCATCGGCATGTTTTATCGTGTCATTATTCGAAATGTTATCTTTAAATAAATTGTTACCTTTAAATAATTGTTATCTTTATATATACCCTATGTTTTACAACTTTAAAAAACTTTTTTCGGGGGGCGCTTACTTTCGAGGGGGCGTGCTTACTTTTG